GGAGGTGGAGGAGGAGGAGGAGGAGGAGGAGGAGGAGCAACCACAACTCATAATTATGTTGGTGCAGATCGTAATGCTGATACTGAATTCGGAACATTAATACCGTAACAACAGCAAGAACCATAACAAGAGGAGGCGGAAGAGGAGGAGGAGGAGGAGGAGGAGGAGGGAGAGGAGGGAACGGAGGAGGAAGAGGGAGGAAGGGGAGAAAGAGGAGGAAGAGGAGGAGCAGGAGGAGGAGGTGGACGAGGAGGAGGAGAAGGAGGAGGAGGAGGAGGAAAAGGAGGAGGAGGCGGCGGAGGAGGTACTAGAGGAGGTCGTTGCGGAGGTGCAGGAGGAGGCAGGGGAAGCAGAGGGCGCGAAGGCAGAGGGAGCTGACGAGGAAACCGCGGGCGAGGACGAGGAAGAGGCGACCGAAAACAAGGAGGCTCATGTGCAGAGGGGGCGACGAGGGCGCCGATGCACCTGGAGGCCAGCTTGAGGAAGGGGCGGCGGCCAGGAGGAGGACGAGGACGGATTGCGATGGCCGAGGCCCCCAGAGGCCAGCACAGGAGGAGAGCCGAGGCGCTCTGAGACAGGAGGAGGAAGAGGAGGCCTGCTGGGGAGGCGGCGGAGCTGGAGGAGGACGAGGAGAGGAGGTTGAGGGTGCGAAGACACAGTTGGAGGCTGACGAACGACGACACGACGACCGCCCCCCGCCTCCCGTTCCCGTCCCCTCCTTTTCCCCCCACCACGCCAGGAGGACGAGGAGGAGGGGGGGGGGCGGAGGAGGAGGAGGAGGAGGAGGAGGAGGAGGAGGGGAGGGTGACAGTAGGAGGATAAGGAAGAGCAGGAAGGAGGAGGAGGAGGAGGAGGAGGAGGAGGAGAGAGGAGGAAGAGACGAGAGGAGGGGGGCGGAGGAGGAGGAGAGGAAGGAGGAGGACGAAGGATGAGACGAGGGAGGACTAGGAGGACGAGGGAAGAGGGTGAGGAGGAGGAGGAGGAGGAGGAGGAGGAGGAGGAGGAGGAGGAGGAGGAGGATGAGGAGGAGGAGGGAGGCACGACGGGAATAGGGGGGGGTCGGCGGCGGCGGCGGCGGAGGAGGAGGAGGAGGAGGAGGAGGAGGAGGCGGAGGAGGCAGGGAAAGGGGGAAGGTGAGAAGGATCCTGGCCCTCCTGCCTCGCCCCCGCCAGCCGCCGCCAGGAGCTGCCCGGAGGGGAGGTCGTCCAGGCCGCCCTCGAGGCCGCCCGCCAGCCAGCGGCGGCGCGGGCGGCCCCGGCCCCCCCTCGGATGCCTACAGCCAAAACTAGGGGAGCAAGCAGCGATGATTCGAGCAGTAGCGAAGCGTCCTGGCTTGCTTGTAGGCCCACCGACGAATATTCTAAAAACCTCGTGTGGTTTGAACGAGTCGTTCTTAGAACATTTCTGACGGAGACTGTTTTGTTTTAGCACATCGGCTTGGTGCTCTACAAACATTGTTTTTGTTATTAGAACATTTTGGGGTTCTGAGAACATGTCGTGGTAGTCCTGTAGGAATGCCGGGAAGATCGGTCCCTGCTCAAATTGCGTAAACAAAAACTCGGAGGTCCGCGCGGATTACTCGGATCGGCGTTGGGCCCCCCCTGGCGGCGCCTCCAGCGCCGCCCCTGGCGCGCTCCTCGCGCCAGGGAAGGGGGTCCAGCGCCGATCCCACGAATCCGCGAGGAACTCCGAGATTTTATGTTTAGGTCATTGCTTGTTCCCCGAAAGATGCTGAAATGGACGGCCGGTTGTCGAAAGTACTATATCTCATGAAAAAACCCATGGAGGTTTGTCCAAGGAGCATCGTTGGGGGGGTCCGGATCCCTGCTGGGTTGTGAGGGGTTGTACAAGGTAGTTCGCCTGTCATCATTGATCAGCGTGGGTATTTGGGGGTATCCAGATCCCAGCCAACTTCCAGCGCTGTCCTGCTTCACCAATCGGCATGTTTTTGCTGTTTGTGTTGCTGTTTTTGTTGTTGTTGTTGTTGAACATTATTAATTCTAAAGAATAATTATTGTTGGGACCCCTGGTGCACGGCCCCCCTGCGCCGCCTAGGCCGCAGCTACATGTTCATCATTTTCGATGTCATCAAGATCCGGTTGTTTTGTTGTAATCCGTTTTCCCTTGCAAAAAACACTATAAAATGACATTTCTTGTTCTAATATAATCAAATTTCAAGAATCCCTTGCAAAAAATAAGGTAAAGTGGACATTCGCGCGCGCAAGACGAAATCCTTCCAAAAGCTTAGTGTTCGGAACGATTTTAACATAAAACATCAAAAAACCAATGGTTTTTCAACAAACAAATGTCAAAATCTCATCCCGCGCGCTCTTGCGGATTCGTAGGAAAACCAACACTTTTTAAACATTTCTGTCCAACGGGCTTTTGCGAGCAACTTTTTTCGAACTTCTGCGACAACGGTTGCGCACCTGCCAGGGCCATCATCCCTGTCAAATAATACCATGCGGGACACATTCGTTTTTTCTTCGCGCGCGCACGCCGAAATCTCCAAAAACCATTGGGCTTCTTAAGAATTTAGCACCGCGCATCATAAAATCACACGAATCGCACCGTAGGTCCTCGAAAAACACCTGCACGACTTTTCAAAATTTCCACCCGCGCGCGCTGTCCTAACAACTTCTGTGGGTGTGTACTCCACGCCAGTGTAGTAGCCACGGTCGTCCGCAGGCCACGAAGTGAAGTGTCCGAACGTCATAGGGCGGGAAGCTGGGTGTGGGTGGTGGCGAAGAGTCGTGTGGATATTTGGTAGAGCTTGCACTGCCCCCCCACAAAGTGGGGGTATTGGCTGGCGTCGCATGAAAACCCTGGCACTGGTGAGAACACTGAGCGTTCGGGTAAAGTGATTGTTGTTGAACATTATTACTTCTAAAGAATAATTATTGTTGGGGCCCCTGGTGCGCGACCCCCCTCCAAAACCTAGGCCGCAGCTACATTTTCATCATTTTTTAGCGAAAGCTTCAGAAAAGTGAATTATTACCGGATCCGGTTGTTTTGTTGTACTCCGTTTTCCCTTGCAAAAAACACTATAAAATGAAAATTCTTGTTCTTACTTGATCAAATTGCAAGAATCCCTTGCAAAAATAAGGTAAAGTGGACATTCGTGCGCGCAAGACGAAATCCTTCCAAAACCTTAGGTTTCGTAACGATTTTAACATAAAAACATCAAAAACCCAATGGTTTTTAAAAAAAAAATTGTCAAAATGTCCTTCCGCGCGCGCTGTCCGAATCCCACAAACCAATGGTTTTTCAACATTTATGTTACATGAGCTCGCGCGAGCTACTTTTTCTTGTTCTAACATAATCAAATTTCAATAATCCCTTGCAAAAAATAAGGTAAAGTGGACATTCGCGCGCGCAAGACGAAATCCTTCCAGAACCTTAGGTTTCGTAACGATTTCAACATAAAAACATCAAAAACCCAATGGTTTTTCAAAAAAAAATGTCCAAATTTCATCCCGCGCGCGCTGTCCGACTCCCACAAAACCAATGGTTTTTCAACATTTATGTTACATGAGCTCGCGCGAGCTACTTTTTCTTGTTCTAACATAATCAAATTTCAATACTCCCTTGCAAAAAAAAAAAAAAGTAAAGTGGACATTCGCGCGCGCAAGACCAACAAAAAACACGACGATCTCAGGAACTTGCCCCAAAAATGTGACCAACTCCGCTCTCTCTGTCTCTCTCTCTGTCTGCTCTCTGTCTCTCTCTCTGTCTGTCTGTGTCATGTATTGTATGTCACAATTGCAGGATGCTGGGCACACGCGCGCCCCGAATAAGTGACCAAGTTCTGTGGGTGTGTACCCCACGCCAGTGTAGTAGCCACGGTCGTCCGCACGCCACGAAGTGAAGTGTCCCAACGTCATAGGGCGGGAAGCTGGGTTTGGGTGGTCGCGAAGAGTCGTTTGGATATTTGGTAGAGCTTGAACTGCCCCCCCACGAAGTGGGGGTATTGCTCGCGTCGCATGAAAACCCTGGCACTGGTGAGAACACTGAGCGTTCGGGTAAAATGATTGTTGTTGTTGTTGTTGTTGTTGTTGTTGTTGTTGTTGTTGAATATTATTCCTTCTAAAGAATTATTATTGTTGGGACCCCTGGTGCGCGACCTCTGCGCCGCGCCTAGGCCGCAGCTACATTTTCATCATTTTTCTGCGAAAGCTTCAGAAAAGTGGATTACCCCCGGATCCGGTTTTTTGTTGACGCTCGTTTTCCCTTGCAAAAAACAATAGAAAATGAAAATTCTTGTTCTTAGTTGATCAAATTGCAAGAATCCCTTGCAAAAAATAAGGTAAAGTGGACATTCGCGCTCGCAAGACGAAATCCTTCCAAAACCTTAGGTTTCGTAGCGATTTTAACATAAAAACATCAAAAACCCAATGGTTTTTTAAGAAAAAATTGTCAACATGTCCTTCCGCGCGCGCTGTCCGAATCCCACAAAACCAATGGTTTTTCAACATTTATGTTACATGAGCTCGCGCGAGCTACTTTTTCTTGTTCTAACATAATCAAATTTCAATAATCCCTTGCAAAAAATAAGGTAAAGTGGACATTCGCGCGCGCAAGACGAAATCCTTCCAGAACCTTAGGTTTCGTAGCGATTTCAACATAAAAACATCAAAAAACCCACTGGTTTTTCAAAAAAAAATGTCCAAATTTCATTCCGCGCGCGCTGTCCGACTCTGGTTTTTCAACATTTATGTTACATGAGCTCGCGCGAGCTACTTTTTCTTGTTCTAACATAATCAAATTTCAATACTCCCTTGCAAAAAAAAAATAAAGTGGACATTCGCGCGCGCAAGACCAACAAAAAACACGACGATCTCAGGAACTTGCCCCAAAAATGTGACCAACTCCGCTCTCTCTGTCTCTCTCTCTGTCTGCTCTCTGTCTCTCTCTCTGTCTGTCTGTGTCATGTATTGTATGTCACAATTGCAGGATGCTGGGCACACGCGCGCCCCGAATAAGTGACCAAGTTCTGTGGGTGTGTACCCCACGCCAGTGTAGTAGCCACGGTCGTCCGCACGCCACGAAGTGAAGTGTCCCAACGTCATAGGGCGGGAAGCTGGGTTTGGGTGGTCGCGAAGAGTCGTTTGGATATTTGGTAGAGCTTGAACTGCCCCCCACGAAGTGGGGGTATTGTCTCGCGTCGCATGAAAACCCTGGCACTGGTGAGAACACTGAGCGTTCGGGTAAAATGATTGTTGTTGTTGTTGTTGTTGTTGTTGAACCTTAATTACTAAACAATTATTATTGTTGGACCCCCTATATTCGCCCTGGCGCTCTCGCCGAGGCGCCGGCCGCATTTCCTCTGAAATTGAGGCTCACGCTCAGGCGTTTTGGGGTTCCGCCAAAACCGGCCCCCCAACAACAACAACGCTCCGGCTCGAGACTTCCTCCTTTTTTACTCGGGCTCGGTGCTCTTGCTCGCCGCCGAGAGCGGCTCCCGGGCCGGACGCCCGGGTCGGCGCCCGAGCCGGCGCCCGGGCGCCGGAAAATCGAGTTCCGAGGCGGCGCCGAAAAAAGGCCATTCCAATACACATTTTTCTTTCGAAAATGCTGAATTTCTGCTTCCGGCGCCCGGGAGGGAGGGAGGCCGTCCGGGCCGATTCCGGAGCTCGGGCCGGCACCCGGCCCGGCTCCCGGGCCGGACGCCCGGGTCGGCGCCCGAGCCGGCGCCCGGGCGCCCGAAAATCGAGTTTCGAGGCGGCGCCGAAAAAAGGCCATTTCAATACACATTTTTCTTTCGAAAATGCTGAATTTCTGCTTCCGGCGCCCGGGAGGCCGTCCGGGCCGATTCCGGAGCCTGGGCCGGCACCCGGCCCGGCTCCCGGGCCGGACGCCCGGGTCGGCGCCCGAGCCGGCGCCCGGGCGCCGGAAAATCGAGTTCCGAGGCGGCGCCGAAAAAAGGCCATTCCAATACACATTTTTCTTTCGAAAATGCTGAATTTCTGCTTCCGGCGCCCGGGAGGCCGTCCGGGCCGATTCCGGAGCTCGGGCCAGCACCCGGCCCGGCTCCCGGGCCGGACGCCCGGGTCGGCGCCCGAGCCGGCGCCCGGGCGCCGGAAAATCGAGTTCCGAGGCGGCGCCGAAAAAAAGCCATTCCAATACACATTTTTCTTTCGAAAATGCTGAATTTCTGCTTCCGGCGCCCGGGAGGCCGTCCGGGCCGATTCCGGAGCTCGGGCCGGCACCCGGCCCGGCTC